AAAAAAAAAAAAAAAAAAAACCACAGCATGTTACAAATGTCAAATTTGTAATTTATAAAATTACAAATTATAAAGCAATGTACAGGGATTCTGTACTTGAATTTCGGTTCATAACCCAACCATCTGTCGAACACTTGTGTAGAAAAAGCAACATAACGTGGAAATCTCTTAAAGGTCAGCCAAATCCCTTCCTTCAACTACAGGGTTTCCCTGTTTACGAACACGCCCGCCGTAATCGCACTCTGCCTGCAGATTAACCCAGGGGAGATGACACTCGCCACCGGCAAAAGAAAGATTGCAAAGGCAACCCTGTCAAATAGGTAAGATGAACGGGGTGCTCAGCTCACGGTGAAGCTGCCTGCAAGAGGCAGAGGGAGACTTCGGACGCCGGTACTGCCGAGCCGCGCAGGGACCCTTCGCCCAGGGAGGTGGGTGCGGGAGATCCGGTGCCCCCAGCCCTCAGCTGCCGGCAGATCCGAGCAGGGCTGTTGCCTGGGGGAGAATAGGGGGCTGCACCGTGCACCCGAAAAGTTAAACCCACCGGAGCAGGATGGAGTGTCTGACGCCTCTCCCACAGCCGGGATGCTAAACCGGCGCAGTCCGGGATCGGGCAGGGCTGCGGGTCCCGCATCTCCCCCAGACACCCTCCTCGTCCAGCGGGGACTCCGCAGAACTGCCCGCTGCTTCCCGGGAAAAAATAAACAAAATAAATGATAATGTGAAAAATAAAAAAAAAAAAACAACTCCGAGGGGGTTCGCCGAAGTGGAAAGTCCCCGGAAAGAGCCGCCTCGTAGCCGAGGAGGGAGCACGACCGGCCGGGGAGGCGCGCAGCGCACCGCACCCGGGACACTGGGCTCCAGCCCCCCCACTCCGTCCCGTTATGGACCGCCGGCGCAGCTTCTCGCCCCTGGACACGGCTCCCTACCCAGCCTGAACACTAGTTGCTCCACCCGCGGTGAAGTGGTGAAAGGCGCCCTGGGGCAACAGCGGAGCTCCGCGGCACAGGAGCCCCAGCCGATGGGTGCTCCCCCCATGCATGGGGCAGACCGGGGTCCGCCCGAGCAGCCATCCGCTTCTCACCTCTTTAAGTTCCTTGGCCACGTCTTTCAGGTCCCCCAGGACTAATTCCAAATCCTCCACGATAATCTTAATCTGCTCCTTCACCTTGGTTTTGGAGGCTGCGGGCGGCCCCTCGGACGGCGACGAGGAGGAGGATGCGGTCCCCTTGGACTGGGCGGACATCCTTCGGGGCAGCCCAGCGCGGCCAGGGGGGCACGAAGGTCAGGCGAGCGCGGCTACCGCCGGCCGCCCGGCCTCGTCCCTCCGGCTCCTGGAGCTACTGCAGCCGCTGCTGTTGCTGCCGCCGCCGCCGCCTACCCGCCCGCGCATCCCACGCCCGGCGCGTTGAGCCGCGCCGCGCTCCGCCGGGCGGGCGCGCTGTGCAGTTGCCATCAGCTCCCGGCAGCGGCGCGGGGGCCCGGCTGCAGCCCTCCCTGCGCCGCGCCTGCGCCTCGCCCCGCCCGCGCCACAGCCCGCTCGGGCCCGGGCCCCGGCCCCGGCCCCGGCCCCGGCCCCGGTCCCGGCCCCGGCCCCGGCTCCGGCTCCGGCTGGGGAAGAGGGGCCGAGGGAGGAGCGACGGGCACCTCACTGCCGTCAGCATCGCACCGCTGTGCTGCCCGGGGAGCGGGAGGCACGGGGGCTCCTCCTTGGAAGAGGTACTCTGCCCCCCTCGTCCCTGCGAGACAGCCCGTAGGGCGGGGGCATGGCGCCGCATTTGGCCTGGAGCTCTCTCGGGGATCCCCGGTCACGGCGGCCTATTGCACCAGCTCTGATGGAGAAGTGTTAAGCGCCCGTCAGAACAGCCCCCCCAAAAGAGAATCGGTTTCAGTGGCTGGCGCATTGCAAAATTCCTGCCAAAGGAGACAACAGAGCCTGTTTCTGCAAAAAAAAAAAAAAAAAAAAAAAAATCTGCACTTGTGAAGTAACCCTTCTGGCTGCTCTGGTCAGCGCCCTGCTCTCTTTGGACTTTCCTGCTCAAAGGAGTCTATAGGAAGGTGTTTTGTAAATACCACCGAATTGGTAAAAGGTCCACATCTTTGCCCATGCCTGCAGATTGCCCTGCAAACACTTATTAGTGATCAGTAGACCCTATTCAAGTTGCATTTGATCAGATAGAAGTAAAATGCACGTGAGCCAGAACAGCTTTTACAAGCCATTTTGCTACTTGGCTCCCTGAGGCAGAGGCCTGTGCTGCATTTTGAGCACACACTTTCCCTAGCATTATTCAGAGATCAGTGTGTGGGCCAAAAGGAAGAGATTGCTGGATATCATTCACCTCTGTGGTTTTTCATTTTACTGCAAAAAGGTGGCAAGTTCAGGAATTCTTAAAGCTACCTCCCAGTAGCTATGAAGTGCAAGAGGGCATGCAGCCAAGCCCTGCTTCGAGGATCACCCGGCATGGTTGCGATTGGCTTTTGATGCTTTAAATGCTTCCAAGAGTTTTGGCAGCCTGAGATGTTTTAACCTAGCTAAAACAGGAGGAGAAAAGCAGAACATTTCCCAGACTGGTGTGTCTGCACATGGTAAATAATCTCACTTGGTGACAGAGAGTTTTTCTCTGGGAAAGGTGTGGAACGGGGATATGAGTAGACAAGGGCTGACAGCACCTCTTACTTGGGGTTAAGTGTAATTATCTCTGCACATTTTACCACTATAAAACGGTAATATGTTACCAATGTATTACCATTTACATAGTCAGCCAAACACCAAACAATTGTGTAGTGTTAGACTGAAATAATTTGTTAGTGGGCATATATTGTATTTTTTCCTCACCAGGTGTCTCCCAATTTCACGTTTTTTTAAACAGTTTCAAGGAGGGCAAGTTCAGGAAGAGCCTATGTCTTTCCTCTTGATTTCCCTTAAGTCTCATGGTAGACTTTTTCATCTCACCAAAGCAACAGTTCTTCCAACACTGACTTTTAAAAGCATTCCTACTGGTTATTTTTGCTTAACTGTTTCTGTATGAGCAACAGCATCATATGATTTTTTGAGCTAGCTAAGTAATAGAGTCTGAATTTCCAAACTGCAGTCACCACTAAATTAGGAAGAAAGCAACCCACAAGTTGTTGAGTAAGTTTTAATTCATACATGGCATTGTATGAACAGAAAAAAAAAAAAAAATTATGAAGAGCTATCAGTGAAATGTCGATGCAGCAGCCAGCACATCCCCAGTTTATAACTAAAGGAAAAAAGGTCTATTTTCTGACACCATTTAAGAATACTGTGTAACAATACACTGTACATACCTATACGAAACATAGCTTAAATAGGTAAGGGATGGTTTCTACAACATTTCTGTAGAAATCATCAACATGGTCACAAAATTACTACCAGATTTGCTACAGACCCTCTATAAATACTGTCTAGCCTAATTGAGCATTCATTATTATACAAATTTTCCAACACAGTTTCTTACTTTCTTACTGTATGAAGCTGTGGCACCTCTCGCATACTTTAAGAAGGGAAAACTGATTCCTGTTTTACCTCATCAGTTAGTTTGAAGTCATAGAAAGATTGCCCATGATCCTGTGGTTATCCTGTTTCCTTAATCCTGCAACAGCATTGGAGACTTCCCAAACTTTTGAAGATGTCCACTTCACCAATCCCTTCACTTCTATAGTGACATTCTTCTAAGGTCTCTGCAGGATTATGTAGTGGCTGATATTTTGTATTCAACCAAGTCTCTACTGCTTATCCCTGAAAAAACACTGACAGCTCTTCTGAGTCCTGAGTAAAGTTCAGTGTCCTCTTGATCTTGAATGCAATTTTATGCCTTTAAAAAATGAGCTATACCATGTCTCAGTTAACTAATCAGTAGTGTCCCATAGCATGTAGCAAAGCTATCTACTAGTTGTTCTATTTCTTTTGCTTCTGTATCTACAAGTAAATGTTATTTATTTTTGGCAGTTTATTCTTTTTGAAGCCTTTCCATCTGTACCTTCGCTAAACCCAAAGTGGCTAATCAGGGAAAAGAAGGGTAGCTCGTTACTGGAAGTCTGACTTCTGTAGACTAAGAAGATGAAGAGGATGCACAAGAAATCTCTGCAGAAATCTTGGGGGATAAAGATTTTTTAAGTAAAAGCTTAAATGTCTTTAAAGTGCGGTTCACTGATCTCCCAGTAACACCTTTTAATCCAGAAAAAGCACCCAAAAAAAAAAGGCAACACACATTAAATAAATTCTAAGTGAAGTAATGTGGTGCTCAACCATACCATTGCCAGCTGTGATCTCATTAAAGATCACAAGTTGTCTAAGGCTTGGCCTTATCAGTAATTGGAAAGGACATGTCTCAGGAAAATCTCTCAAGATGCTGCAAAATTTTGTTTTGGTGATTCAGTAGATGGCACTTTTCCTTTTGGAAAAAATATCCCGTATTCAGTCCAGTGTTACAAACAGAATGAACTGAACACACACAACCACACACAGATTGCAGTCATTTTATCATGTTATTTAATTTATACTATTTATTATATGTGTGGAGTCACAAAGAAAGTTGGCAACTGTGCAGGAAATCATTGAGTGATCATAAAATGTACATGAATCACATTTTTCATGAGAATCACCCAGACCAGTCATGTCAGTAATTAGTTTTACCTTTAGTCACTTCTCCCTTATTAAAAATAAAATAATATTTTTTAAAAATGCTTACCTACTGGTGAGGCCTTGATACCGTTATCATAAAGCCTTCATATACATTCTTGCATGAGAATAGAAACCAAATGAGCACTTACACAAACAATGTGTGTAAAACTACATCCCACAGCTACATCCAACTTTCCGCAAGTCACTAGTATTCCAAATAGATTAATTAAAAATTAATTCCCTGTTGCCTGTTGAAACCATTTTGTTTGGTATTTGGGCTATTTATCAAAGATAAAAGTTGAGCAAAGTCTTCTGGGACAAATGACATTTTTAATCCAAATGTTCAGATTGTTTTTTAAAGATTTTCAAAGTTTCCAAACAAAATCAAGGTTTTTAAAAGCAAACAGATACCTAGCTGAACTAACTAATTCTGGGAATGGTTAAATATAACCTTATTTTCCCTCCCTCTTTTAAATTTGTCCCTAAAGGAAATATTCCACATACAAGATAGGGAAGCACTAAACCGGTGAACATGTGTTTTTCATCCCAAATGAAATTGTGAAAGAAAGCCTAATTGAATTGCTGCAGGTTTGTGTATTGGACACTTACTAAATTAAATACCCATTTCAATCTTCAAAATTAATCATAAGTTAAATTAAAACAATGGGTTAAGCTATAGTACAATGCCTATAACTTCTATTCCAGGTACTTATTAAACACAGGTTTCCATCTTTTAACTTTTCTAGCCTAAAAGAAGAGTGGACTAATCTCTTTCCAAAATGTTCCCATGTTTAACTGAATATAGTGCTCTTTTCTGAATTCCTAAACAATTATTTAACACTTGTGCTGAGGAACTCACTTCGGCTGCTTACACTCCAAACTATAGAGTTGTAGTTCCTTTGGATGGATGTTGAAAGACTCTTCAGTTAAAGGGAAAAATTAAAAGTGCTTTATAAAATGTGGTATATATATTAAATGACATTATGTTATTTCACTTATTTAAAAAGTGAAAAGAAAGGAAACTCAGGAACTCACAAAATAAACTACATACTTGTGAGTTAAGTTGGTTGTTTCCAAACGGTAACTAGCAAACATAACAAAAGTCAGTGTTAAGGCAAGGTGACTTTATGCTCTAAGTTCTTGTCTTATTTCTCCTACATTTTTCTTCTTGATACTGATTTAAAATTGTATAGCAAAATACTATGCATGTGTAGTATGAATTCGTAATTGCTTTGATTCAAGTACACAATCCGCATATATTTCCCATAAGGATTTACGTATTGGTGAAGGTTTTCTGCAAACTAGCCCCTCAGTACCTAGAGAAAGAAATGGAGCATCTTGCATGAGTATCAGTTATACCTGTGACTTCTTTATATTCAAAAGAGTCAGTTTTCAGTGTAAAATTCAAGAGCCTATGAATTTAGTAAAAGAGGATGATAAAACCAAATTCAGTCAAAATACAAATACCTAGAGGTGATGTGATAATATGAACTTTGTCCAAGTTATATGAGGTTTGTCCATTCATATTATACAATGGCATCTAACATTGTGTAAATAATTGTGTGTGCAATGCTTTGACTTAGTAATGATGCACTGGATAGGCAAGTAAACTAAAAAAAAAATTATTTTCATGTATGAAAAGAAAATAATCTGTTATTTTAGAGTATGGAAAATATTAAAATATGCATACACATCATTGAAAGATTCAGAAATGTATTTGCTCTCAAAATAAAAATTCAATGTCCACTTTTTGATGGAAAGAATTAACAAAATGACTGTACATATAAATCAATAGAATAATATATATGATAAAAAATAAATAGCAAATGGGTCAGGGAAGAAAAAACATGATTATACCATTCTTATTCATCTCTCTTGAAAATATCTGTCAAAATGTTTTTTAAGTACAGGAATAATATGAGATAAACTTATTCTATTATTTCCTCAGCCCAATACACTCCGCGTAAGTGCTTGAAAAGAGAAGTTTATTTATTTCCTCTTCAAAATTGAAAAGCATGATTGTGAGGCTAAAAGGAGATTGGTGGCTGAATATTTCTGCAGTAAACCTAAAGCAGTAGTTTATATTAGTAATTCCTTCTGCTTGTTTTCCAAATTCAGTTACTGGAAGTTACATACTTAATCTAATTTTACCAAGATTACTCTTCTGTTTACTGGTTAGCTGCTAGCTAACAAATTGGTGCCTTTTTTTTTCCCTAAGGAGCTATTCGTTGGTGTCAGATGCAAAGTATTTCCTGTGGAGGAATATCCCTTTACTGCTGGCACTCACTTCAGTAGTATGTTATTGCAAACATCTGGAGCACACAGGAAAAACACTGGCTGGATTCCTTCCTAAGGCATCTCAATCAGAATAGTCTGAGAGAGAGAAAATGCTGATTAAATGAGTAACCCAGACATGGAAAAGGGCAGTATCATGAGTACAGTATCAAGAATACAAAGGTAAAAGATGCAATTCTTTAACTTGCAGGCCTACAGTGGATTTATAGAACCTCTATCTCAAAGCCCACTCTAGCTACTGCATTTAAAAAACTATTTTTTCTGTCATACACTGTAAAGCAAAGGTGAACATTCACACATTTGAGGCTTTCAGTTTAAATTGATGAATTATCTATTGGCAGACAATGAATCTCTGCCACTTCTTCCCCTACTGTCCAGATTCAAATAATGTTAAAAGCCATAATGCAAACTATGAAAAAGAAGCCAGAAGCATAAAAAGGAAGGATCCATTACTAACTGATGAACATAAGACTGGATTGTGTGAGTGCCAGGTAGTCCCGTGAGATACTGACTGTTCTCCAGGCAATGGTTTGAGAACATGCTGATTCTATCCATGCCTCATTGAACTTGGCCAATAACATTACAAACCCAAGTACCCAATCAGTCAGAATCTGATAGGCAGAATCTTCCAAACTTCCAAGAAAAAAATTCTCATATTCCTCTCCTAAATTCAGATAATTATAATTGAAAATATGTGATCTTTCTACTATTCAGTGTTCACTGATTGTTATATTATCAGTGTCATTCATTATTAATTTGGACACTAATGCTTTTCCAATATGGGTTTGGTTTGGTTTTTTTTTTTGTTTGTTTGTTTGTTTCTGTGGGTTTTTTAAGCAGTATTTTCTATGAAAAAATCTCCTTGAAAAGTCCCACAGTCAATTAACCTGGGATCAGTTACATGATTTCTAGCAGTCTTTCAGAACCTATGACCTGTCTTTAAAATGTCAGTTGCACAGTGACACACACCAATACATACATTTACCTAATGTGGCTTTGAGTAAGCATTCTAGGTGTTTTCAAAGAAGTAACATTTTCAGGGGATATCCAGATGTCTCGTCCACCAGTCATTCAGAGCGTCTGTTCTGCTTGCACCAGCTTCAGATTTGTTCCAGAGAATTTGCAGTTCTCTGCAGCTGTGCTGGGAAAACTCACAACTCCCCTTATCCTAGGTAAGAGCTATTACTAACAGAAATCTTCAGAACCAAGTGTTCCATTTGCTTCCTCGGTAGTTATAACCTGTCAGTTTTTAGCTACTGGTTCAGAAAAAGAAGCTGTAGAGCCTATGCAGTCTGGATTGCTATCTCAGCAGAAAGGTACAAAACTAACACAGTGATAAAGCTTTAACTTTTTCACGATCTTGAGTATCTGTTTTCTTTCAAAACAGGGGAATAGTTTCTGATCTTTTTAGCAAGCATCAGGAAAAATTAGTAACACTCAGAAAAAGGCAATTCTGCCTTACTCTTTATTATGGTTTTGTTGTGTTTTTTTGTTTGTTTGTTTGGGGTTTTTTATCAGGTTATAATGTTGCAAAAGCTTAGGAAGTGAATCCAAATGAGACTGAATTTTTCCATTCAAATCCAGTCTCGTTGTTTGACAAGCTAAACTATTAAACACTCGGTAACATGTAGAGAGAAAACCAGGCCTGTTCTGCCTTCAGAAAAGCCCCTGTAATTAAATATAGTTAACTAACATGCTTGACTAATATTACCTGAAGGCCTAACCCACAGTCTACAAACCTCCTTTAAAAGTGAGACAGTTTGGTCTAAACCTCTGTAAAACTGTTTTGTGACCCCTCTTCAGTATGTCCAATCTTATCTTTTAGCAGAAAGATATAATTTCTCTCTAACAAAGTCAGATCACAGGAAGACTCCGTATTTTAGTTTCCAGGGATGTGCTTTGTTTTTATGCTACTGTCATTTGGTTCTGTGGTAATTCAATACCAGACACTGCTTACTGGGATAAAAGGACCTTATGTCTTACCCAATGCACATATACTTCTGTTCCTGAGGTTTCAACTCAGTCACTCTAAAATCATATTGCTGAACACTTCTATCCTGCCAATGACTACAACTAAATTACTTTCGGTACAGGAGTGAAGTACCATATTTAGTAAATTGCCGTAAAATTCCCTATGATTTTTATTTATTTTTAGCATTGAAAATGCTGGTTTTTATTAGCATTGAATATTCTTGCTTTAGCTCTTACATGAAATTACTCTACTCTGAAAAGAACTTTAAAAAAAACATTAGTGAATGAAAGGAAATTCCTGCATACCATTTACAGTCTGAGAGGTGGGGAAAATCCTGGGTTTTGTCCCTTGCTTTAAAATATGCATTATTTTATACAGGAACAGCACACCTAGGCTACTCTGGTATCTAGAGATTAGTAAAGGAAGAACAATCTGAATTTTTGTTTTTTGCTACTGCTCATGCACTTTATGTTTGAAGATACCTTATTTGTGTCATTAACACTATTTTGAAGTTTCTTACACAAACTCATATTTCATCTAGAGATAATTTGGAAAAGATCAGAAGGCTTAAGATAAAGAGGTTCATTTGTGTCTCTGTGATAATTTCCATTATTTTTTCGGCACTTGAATAATAATGCATCAGTAGTGTACCTAACAAACACAATAAACCCCATTTAGTATAATTCAGCCTTGTAAGTTTGTGACTTTAACAATCTTGTCAGTATTTGAATAAAAAATTATTCAAACAACAAAGGAAGAACTACACAGGGTTCTAGAAACATCTTAAAACTCTCTTCAATTTTGCAAATTGTTTGGAAGGAAGTGTTGATTAAAGAGTCCATAAATATTTTACAACGCTGACCTTCTGCTTTGGAAATTGCTTAAACTGGAGACGCAGAAGTAAACTACAATCCTAAACCTATGTAATCTGCTAAAATGGATAATCAACCCAACAGTCTGGCCAGTTCTCATAGAGCACCCCTAAGTCAAAACAGAAGTCCTTCTGCTGTTGTGCAGGTCGCATAACAGAGTTAATTTGTGAGTTAATTTGTCTATGTAATTTCAATCAGTAGAGTGACAAACAGAAACCTGTAGCTTTTGCTTTAAGATTTTTTATATTTACTTCTATTTTCTGCAAGAGGAAAAATGTAATTATTGTGAATGTTTATTGAAGAAGTGGGTAAAAATGCATCTCCATTTCCAGGATCCTCTCCAATGATCATTTATTCTGCAGTGTTGAAATTTTTATCAAACCTTGGCTTTTATGTGATGCCTTTTGAAGTTGATAGACTTTCCAGTTACTGAAGGTCTGTTGTTGCAGTGCAGCAGTTTATTACAGCTGAAACGTTTTTTGCATGTCAGAGATTTTGACTTTGCGCTCACCAAGCTAAGGGGTAAAAGATGAATATAAGCTGAACAATAATCAGAGGTAAATATAAAAAAAATCATCTCTTTGATTCCACACTGCCATTGACAGGACTTCACATGCATGCAGATACAAAGGCAAGAATCTCAAATCATAGTATGAAAAGGTTCTGTACAGAATTATCTGCCATGCCTCTTTTATGTAGCCTTTGGAGTAAGGTCACACAGTTTTGTTTTGTTGCAGCACTGCCAAATCAGACATCAGAAGGCTTGGTAGCTCAGTTTCTGTTTACTTTTTATCTTACAAAAGATATGCATGATAAACCATGGGAGTCAGGGTTTTAAGTTCTTATTGTTGCTTTTACTTAGTACTTGTTAAAATATTTACTTTCTTAGCTATGTTTTAATCATTGAGCTACTCCCTTGTCCTGTGGCAATGACAGGGATTAGAGCTCAGATTTTGCATTCATAGCAAGAAGTTCTACTTTATAGGATCAGACTCACACAAGATCTGAATGCCTGTTTAATGGATGTTTACAAATTGGAAACTGATATTTCTAAAGTTTCAAGAAAGCCCAAAAACTCGTTACTCCCCCGACCTGTTGCAAATAGCTCTATGGACTTATGAATGGACCTTGTCACACAGAAGCCTGTGTGTACTGAATTCACTGAGACAGACAAAGAAGTTTAGGTTAGCTATAACAAAGTTCTTTACTGTGAGGGTAGTGAGGCACTGGAATGGGTTCCTCCAGGAAGTTGTGAATTCTCCATCACTGGCAGTGTTCAAGGCCAGGTTGGATAGTATCTTGGGTGACATGCTTTAGTGTGTGGTGTCCCTGCGCATGGCAGGGGGATTGGAACTAGATGGTCCTTTCCAACCCAATCCATTCTATGATCTATGATTAACGTCAGCATTCACTGAGGCTGTCATAGGCCACTAGAGAAGAGACAGTCTTCTGTTGTTACATACAGATATGGTGTACTTAAAGACTTCTGAGCATCCTTAATAACAGATATTTAGATTCCTAGATTTTGCAGATACAGATCTTTGGGAGCCAACAGACTCATATTTGGGTGGCACCTGACAAAAGAACTGAGTGTGGAAATAAGTGAAAGAGAATACTTACATTTTTGTTAATCTCTTTTCCCTTAGCTTAAGTGGTTAAAATTTCTGAAATGGTGGACTTAAAATTTGCAAGCTATGGAAAACTCAAAATTGGTTTTGCAACAATTCATTACCAGTAGGGTAAAGCTAACACGTCTCATGATGGTCTGGAATCATCTTTTAAAAATTGTTTTATTCTTAAAACTTTAAAATAAGAAATGGAACTGTAAGCAGTCTATATTTTTATCATTTGTTAAACTTTTCAAATATTATTGCCATACTCTGATAAGTTTTGAAGTTGAGAGTAATAGTGTCTAAAGTGAGAAGACATTCTGTCAATCCAGTCAGTATTCTTAAATATTTGGTTGACACTTTTAATACTCAGTGGTAGGAAACATATGAGGACATAAATAAATAGACATCACTCATTCACTTTTGGCTAAGACCAAACTCTATTCCATTCTTACACTTCTGCTTCTACATACAAAACGGTGACTGAGGGGAAAATGTTGGCTCAGTTGTGTGGCAAGATGGGATGCTTGGAACTTTCAATATCCTGGCGTGTAATTCCTTGGAATATGTCCAAAATACTCATGTTTTATTCCAGCTGGCATGTAACATACTTCTGCCACAGTCAAGACCTGAAAAGGTTTACTCAGTAAAAAATCTTCTTGCATCAGGCACAGAGTCACTCTTTTCTTTTTTTTTTTTTTTTATGGTAGTACTGCTGTCTCCCAAAATTATTTTATTTGTCTGGTTTTGTTCCTTTTGACTTGATTCTCATTCAGGTGGAATTTTCAGTCCTCAAAAAAATGATAAAATGAGGTTGTGTGTGTCCATACTTGTAATATTTTTTTTCTTTCTGAGTCTTTTTCTATATTATTGCAAGTTGATACAAGGTAACACATCAAGAAAAAAAAATAAGATTGATTACAGGAATAAATTTTAAATTACACTAAAAATGGAATTCATATAACCATAATGACTAAGCTATAATCTTTAACAGATTTATAAAATAAGAGCATATACTTTAAATCAAAATTAATGGCAATCTATGAACGTATGTTACCAAACATTGAATAATGTACAGAACAGTCTTTTGACATGAGGAGCAGGTCATTGTCCTACTCTTCAGGCTATAAAATCACACCACTGTCTCCTCCTTGTGACTTTAAGAGTTGTATTTTTTCCTGCTCAGTGCCACACCTTCCTCCTCTGATTCCTTAGGACATTTCCGTATGAGGCAAAAGGCATATATCTGAATTTAGTTAGGAAGATTTTATGGTCTTCAGCATCTTGAGTGGATTCTCTGATCACTCATAGTCAAAACATGCAACAGCTCACCATGTCTAGCAATGTTTTAAATCCTAATAGTCCTGCATTTGTCTTGGAGTGGTTCTATAGCAGATGTGAACTCCTGTTAGTTATTTTCATAGGAGAATACATAGGGATACAGCCGTGTCCTTGGTATTTGCTTTTGGTTAGCCTTAAGCTGTTCTTCTGGAAGCATGGTTCTCTGTGAAAGGCGTAAGAGACCTCCTGCAACTTACAATGACTACCAGGTTCCGTTCCACGGGTCATACAAGATGGAGTTGATGTCAGAATGCTCAGACTTTGTTTATTCTCATTTCTCTCTGGAGTTAGATGTATGTCTAGCAGCATCATTGGATAGGTCTATTCTGTCACAAAGATAGAGGCTTGAGGACAAGCAACCAGAATAGTTTTCTGACTTGCAACAAGAATAGTTTTCTGACTTGTGCTCTGCTCACAATCCATACCAAAGTGTACTCAGATGAGAAGAGATCATGGATGTCTTTGGAATCTGTCTTGATGGAGCAAAGTTGCCTTAAAGTCCATAAAACTGAAACTCCCTGAATATATTAAAATATCTAAGCTGTCGGCTGACATACACAGATCAAGTTTCAGGTCTACTGAATTAGATAATGACCTTCAGAAAACCTCTGGTTTTGCAAATTTGTCTTGACTTCCTAATGTTAAAATTAATTAGACCCTTCACTGTTAGACATACCTGGAAATTTCTGATATGATAATGATGTCTGAAGAGACTTGAATCTGCATTTTTGTGGAGAATTCATTTCTCAAGGAGGTAGGTGGCAATGGTCCTCAAGCTTGCTTCCATTTCAAGCCACAGAATCTCTCATGAATAAATTTGTGGGCCAGGCCCACCATATGCCGTGATGATACAGCTCAAGTGTACTGCACATGAGGAATCAGTGATGCACTGCACATACAATATACTCAATGCTTCTCAGTCAACTTGATGCAAGCATTTACTTCCTTTTTGTACATCTTTGCACATGGCAAAGATTTTCAGTAACTGCCTGTTATACATAGGAAAGCAGGCTGCCTGTTCTTGGTCTCTTCCTCTTCCTTTCATAAATATGAGCTGTAGACAGACTGCAAATCAGAGAAAATGTTCTGATTCTGGTAGCTCGTTCTCATCTGCCATCTTCTATCAGGTTTCATGAATCCTTTCCCACAATAATTATTGTTGTGTGCTATAATGATTGCAATATTGTCAGATTGTACTTGCTATCTGGTATGGATGTTCACATACTACTACTCTTACAGGGAACAATTAATAGCAAGTATAAACTAATGATGTTTCCCTTGATCTCTTTTTGTCAGGACTGCAGATCTTGTACCACCTTAACTTTATTGGCCTATACATCTGTAAGAGATCTATCAGTCACAGTGTTGTGGCACCTAATTTAGTTGGTATTTTGGGCAAGCCCAACAATGCTCTGGCAAGATACAACAGTCAATAGACATGAGTTGCGTTGCTGAGTGGAGCGATAGACCCATAGTCTCCAAGAGAGCAGCTGGAGATGAGTTGCTGCCAAAGGAGTTCTGCCAGCTGCAGTTTGTTCCTATTCACACAGGGATGGCAAGCAAATTCTGTGTACCATTGTGCAGGTGGACATAGCATAGCACTGATCTTTGAAACTGTGGAAATCATACTGTGCTTTTCATCTTTTCTGTTGAAATCGTTTGAACGCTTGGAATAATTATACTTGTTATCTAGAAAGAATATCCAGGGCTAAGAATCCACATGTATATGATGATAAAAGCATTTATTTTCAAAGAAGCCTCCACCACTCATTTCTAATCTTAGAAATTTTATTCTTAACTAATCAGGACTTGACCATAGGTCTTGTCTTTTACACAGTCAATTGCTGTAGCCACTAAGTTACACACAAATGGTTTAAGCAAGTATATATAAGCCATTCCCAAGATTTAAAGACACAAAAGTGAAGAAAACTTAGTTAAATAAATCTTCAGATGAGAGGATCTGAAGGCTTGTACCTCATTCTGTATTTCTGCAAGCAACAGCTGGAAGGTTGCAGGAAAGCCCTAGGGGCCTCAGATAGACATCTGTCGATGTACCTAGGCACTTTGGGGCTTGAAGCAGGAGAGGATGCCACAAACTGTGATGTAAGTGCTGAGGAGGGGAGAGAAAAAGACTCTACTATGAGCTCTGATAGAGTTGCTTTGGGAAAGCAATTATTGCCATTTCTTGAGCTGGAAGTGGTAGGGCTGTGGATCACTTTAAAATAGGAGTACATAGCAAATAAGATTACTCCCTCTTGCCTGTCATTAACATCTTTCATTCATTATCGTACTGATTTTAGAGATGGAACTCTGCCTGTTTATACCATACAAAATTAGACTCATTTCAATTAGGGATTTGAGAACCAAACTGCTGTAAAGTCTTTCAAAACCCAGCACAAGGATCATTCACTCAAGAAATTGAAACACCGGGCTTCTAGCACTTACCCCAGAAGGACAGTTTGAGTTTAAGTTTCTTCAGGCAGAGAGATAGTTTTAATGAAAGAAGTTTCTCATATCTCTGTGTGAATGAAAGTGGGACAAGTATCTTGCACATATGCCTTTCTTCCAGATTCCTATTTGAGAGAAGTGTTGCCTGGAGCAAATCACTGAATTTATAGAGAGAAATAGAGATGAAGATGAAAAATACTTCCCAGTTTAGCAAATGAGTTTTTGAAGACCAGCCTCTAAAATGCTTACTTGTCACTAAATGTTGAATAGGGAGTTTGAACACTGAATCCAAGCCAGTGGTTTCTACAGCACTTAGGAGACTTCTGTTAACTTTTGCTATGCTGAGGTTAAATTGCCAAACCAAATTTGCAGACCTACACCTGAACTGCCATTTCATATTTAAACAAGTTTTTTGTTTTAGATAAAACCTTTCTTTTTAGTTCAAGAGTCTTGATTTCAGACAGCTGTATCACCAAAAAGTGTACTTACAGAAATGAAATATTTACTAAGCAGATTTAAACACATTATCTCAAATTTAAACGGTTAAATTTAAAACATGTTAAAAAAAATAATATTGAAAACGTTATTTGGTCTTTACAACAATACTTAAACAGCTGTGTCATGCCATAAATGCTAACTGAATAAATTTTTTAATTCTTGAATTAACAAGACAGGGTATTTTACATTTGAAAGACAATGGTTATCCACTTCCTTAGGTTAAAATATTTTAACCAGTATAATGCAACATAGTTATGTTAGTTTAATTAAGCTTCAACAAACTGAATATATTCCTTGTAAACACATATTACCAGCACATGTACTTCAATAAACAAGGATTGCATCCTCTTGTCACAAAACAGTGAGTTCCAACGACTCCAACTTTCCTAAATCACACTTGCAATGACTGAAGCCATCTAATTTGCACAAAAGAGCAGTGGAAAATTAATTTAAGAACACATTTGGCTTCACGTATGTTTGCAATAAAACTGTTGTTTTAAATGTCTTAATTAGAACTGTTTGTCATGGTTACTTGAAACTAGCATAATGGCATTGTTGTGACCACAAAAATCAGAGGGAGTGAAAGGACTGGGGGTGGAAGGAAGAGAGCAAGTGTTTTAAAACTCCTGAAGAGTTCAACAGTTTCAGAAAAAAATCCCAGACAACTCAACTCCAGTCACACACCCCTGTGTGTGAACACACATATGTGTTTTCTTAAGGGGAGAATTGCAAATTTATTTTCAGCATGTATTTAATTTCTTCAGTAAACTGTAATTACTAAATCTTGTTTAAACTATCTTACGTATCTCCAGTGGCACCACGCAGAACAAAAGGAAAATACACAGCCAACTGCCTTGGCTTTTCCTACACAGGATTTTCAGCTTCGACCTCTAGTTACCAACAGTGCTCCTCAGAAGTCCTTCCAACTCATTATGGAAGGAAGGTTGATGGAAACATCATGGCATAACAACCACACTAAGCAAAAGTTTTTGGAATCAAAATCCCCAGAGCAGGTTTTTCTTTTCAGTGGTGTTTGAATTCAGTCTCTGACCCACATCCTCTCTTTACTCAGGTTCATTATTAGCCAGCAGCTCACCCTAGCGAAGAATGTGCCAGACATAATTTACTTTCCCCAGAAGCTCACTAATCTTTCTTCGAATGCTTCTTCTCATATATTCCTGTTTCAGGTAACTTTCTATAATATCAGCATTGATACAGCCACAGCACAGAGCCCTGCCGCTTCAGACTGATTCAGACTTTCACCTTCCATTATAGCTCACTCTGTTCTTCTAAAGTAGCTCCAGAATATTAATTTTATTTGACTCAACTTATGGACAAGAAAAAAAATATTTTCCTTGCTCTTACACAGACTGAGAGGATAAATTCCACTAGATAATTTTTCAGAAGTCACAACTCCCACCATCCCAGACCATTATTCCTGTATTCTTTCAAGACTGATCCTTTCAAACACACTGTCACATCACTGGCATCACATACAAAATTTTTTTGGCTGTTTTCACAGTGCTTTGTGTTCCTTAGAAATCAAATACGATAAGCATGATACACAAATTTAATCACACAAATGAACAGCTAGCCAACTAATGGATGTATCTCAAAGCATCTTAAACATTAAGGAATATACTATAACATGTATTACTGGGGCAGATTTAAAGATACCTAGATATTTAAAAAACAAATTGATGTCTCAAGAAGTAGTCATATACAGTAAAAAAATTAACATTTCAGGAAATGAAAGTTAGAGATGTAAATATCTTTTAGAATTTCAGTAGAAGAGAGAGAATGAAGAATAGGAATTTCTCCCATTTCAGTATAGAAGTTTCATTATAAAGAAATGTCCTGCAACTCCAGAGAATTCAAAGCTATGAATGTCTTTGTTGTTTTCTTTAACTCCCTTTATTGCTGGAAATCAAAAGCAGGTTCTGTCCTCCTTTCCTCACCAATCTTAGTATCTTTGAAGCAGGTTCACAATCTGTTTGTTTTAAGACGTCTTCAGTGTCACACCAATTAGTCAGGTAGGCAGATTTAGAGCTGGGAGAAAGCAAAGACTTGCTTATCACTTTGAATAAAATTCTCCATGCTTCCCTACCATACCAGACACACTTTTACCTATTTTTCCTGTAAATGAAAAAGAAAAAAAAAAGAGTGAAAGGTTTCTTGGGATAGTCTAGAAACTGACAGAAAATTCCCTTTAAAATACAAGTTGCTTCCCTGATGTCTCCATAGTAGGGAATTTAATGCTTTGGGACTTCATATGGCTGAATTTTGCTCCTTGAATTTGGGTTTTGCAGGTTTTCTGTGTCATACAAGTAACTTACTGTAATCCATATCCTGATTTTATTTTCCTATGAGTGTAAGAATACAAAATAATATATGAAAGTCAACAATCTGGAGCCATGGGTAACAGTCATTAGTAAAATACAAACACTTGAAATGAAACAAATAGATTTGGAAAAAAAAGTCAATATCAGCAACAGTCTCTCACCCTTCTTTTTTTTTTATGAGAAACTGAAACTTTTATGATCCTGTCTGCCTGAGACACTTACTGAAAGAATTGTACAAAAAATTGTATCATCCTCAGAATCAGCAGTGAGTTTGAATCACAGATGGAGTGAAGTTGAGAGCTCTTGTCTCTGTCTTAGTTACATATGTCTTTGCTCAAACAAAAATTAGAGTTACCAAGTCTGTAGTATGGCTTTTTTCCCTTCAGCAAAATCTTTAGAATTAAACACTTCTGTGCTGAGAAAAGACTGTTGAACTTTCCATTCTTTCTTCTCCTCTTTAGCCTAAATTCCATTAAAAATATCTTTCTGAACCTAGAAGGCTACTCTGATTTTTATAGCCTCTGGAGAGCAAAGGAATTATATTAGAATTTAAGCAGTGGAGAGTGCTGGCAAGATTAAATCTAATCTAAAAGGAAGAGGCTCAGGAGAAATATAATCACAACATACAAAAAAAACCTCAAAACCAAACAACTGAACAAAACCAAACCCAACAAAACACTAACAAACCACCCACCACCACCAACTTTCAGGATGAAGTTTTAGTTCTCACATTCTCAAAAGCAGCTGTGCATTCAAGAGAATGCCAATTTTTTGTCTTGAAGGAATCTGTGTGACTCCAGATGGAGTATTTGTTTCTCCATTTCTGCTTTGGAATAGAAAACATATATCTCTTGTTCAATTGCTAGGTATGCAAAAGTCAAACATCAGCAGTCTGTTATGGAAGAGATGATGTCAGGTGGAAATCAGTGGTCATTTATTTATTCTTGAGCCTCAGAAGTAGTGAATTTATAGAAAATATTATTTTATATATGTATTAACAAGTTGTATAATAATTGAATAGCAATAACAATTTATAACTATAAAATTGTAAAATAATGTCTCCATCATTATTTTTCTTAACATATCTACCCCTTTTGCTGCAAGCGTTCCAAGCAATGGGGTTGGTTAAAAAGCTGAACTTTTCTGAGGAAGTATTTATACTCAGCTTAATGTGCCTTTCAAGCTCGTGAATCTTTGGCAGGACACTAATGATTACTTGGAAAGTAGTAATCACTACTTTATTGATTAGTGAATAATTGCAGTAATGAGGACTGTTTGTACAGTTAGCTAATAAACTGGCTATTCTATTGCCCCAGAATCATGTGCACATATTGACTAGGCTGGAAAAAAATTAATCTTTCCAAGTCTGATACTTTTTACTCTATGCTGACCTAAGAGACACTGTATTAGCATGCTTTCTTTGCCTATAAACTAGGTAAGTTTCAGCAATGCGGGTCCGTTAACTAGAAAGAAGGCTTCACTGATCTGAAGGATGTTGGTCCTTTCTCCTTTTGTAATATGCTGTCTTTGAGGTTCAGGTGAAAAGAGGTAGAAACATGATATGATACTAAAACTCCAGATGTTTGCCTAACTGAATGATAAACTAACATCCATATACAGAAACTTTTCTGATTTTGACAGAGCTGTCACATGGAAATGCTTAAAGCTGTGGATAGATTCTAACCACCTCAATTATAAAAGAATAATTTAAAGTTATAATGCAGCAAGTAGCATATTGACCCATTATTCAGACATCCTTTTATTATTACATACTATTAGACTTGTTGAAATATGCACTGAAATATACTAGGAAATTGATCTAAATGACGAATAATAGTAATTTAAAATGGAAAATGTCAGTGGGGAACTTTTGTTTATAGTGGGTTTGGGGTGAGTTTTTTTAGCAAGAATAAAGTAAGTGCTGAAATTGCAGATAGGCCATGGGTCTGGATTTTTATATCTTTTCACAATGGGCTCTGAATTCTATTTCTTTGTATTGTTTTTTCTTTTTTTCTTGTTGTAGAATATACCATTGGCTTTTAGCTAGGAAGCTCAGCTCCTCTGAGAGAACTTGGGCAACTGTTGCTGAAGTGGATCATAAGCTACAAGTCGCTTCTGGTTGAGCATGGAAAGAGAACATGCTCCATTCATTGTGATCATCTGTGGTGAGCTAAAAAATGACTTAGCATTTTAATAAATAATAGAAAAGGCATCAAATTAATCTTAGGTCAAATAAGTATTCTGCAGAGGAATGAGGGCCTTATTGTAGACTTGTGATAGTAAACTACTTCTTGCTTGTGCATAGTTTTTATTAACTACTTTGCTCCCAGAGAGAATTAAAAAAAATAAAGAATTGAGAGGGTAGATCTAGAAGAAAGATATTTTGGACAGACAGCTACAGATACCAAGAATAAAATCTTCTGGAGAGAGATAAATCTGTTTGGAGTAGAGTGAAATTCAAAATTTTTCTAAGCTTCCAGAGATGATTGAATTCTTTCCACATATTAACAGAAAACAGGAAAAAGCTGTAAAAGTAAACAAGATTTTGTTTTCTTATGTAAGAATATAAAAAAAAAAACAAAACCTCCACTCTAGACACTTTTCAAATCAGGCAGTATTTTACAGGAACTTGTGCCTTTGCATGCATAATGATCCAGACAACACTGCCACCAAGACTAGTGAAACTTTACATTCAAAAGTGACAAAAAGGGTAATTAAACTATTATTCAGTAATTTTTATTTTTTTTAAATATGTATACATATGCAAAGAAGTAACTGGTCTTCTCCAAATTAAAAGGAAACTGTTTTAAAGAAAAATTCACCTTTGAGTCTTCATTTAGCTTGTGCTTTCTGCCTTCCTGGATGGGAAATTTTAGGCTTCACAGTACACAGCATGGAAAGTTCTATGGAAATAGAGAATATTACAGTTCTGAAATGCTTAAGAAAAAGATTTATCAGAGTTATGAATCAGATCCAGCACCTGTTTTCATCACTTTGATAATATATGTCAGTTATATGCAAGTTTCAGTTATTGCAAGCAGCACCAGGTAGCATACAAATGTTTCTTTGACGGATTGGATAAAACTAACAAACTGTGACAGTGTAAAGATGTTATCCCAGCTAATAGGGTGATGAAGGTTTTACACAAACTACAATACTCTATTAGAGAAAGAGTCTGGCACTGTCTTCTAGAAGACATCAGATTTCCTGTGAATGATTTTTTTCTGGTGGAAGATGCTGGCTTAAATGAAAATCATATTTTTTACAGGAACAACACAAGATCACAATTTGGAGGAAAAAAAAAAAATTGTTCTGAATGGTTTCCTAATATTATGTGATGCCACTATCAAATGGTTAACAATTGACCATCCAGGGCATATGAGTCCCCTGGCTTGCCCTAAAATATATGATTTTAGGGACAGTCAGATCATCCATGAGAGAAGGGTGTTGAAGAGAAAGAGACGATGAATGGCATTGTGATAGTTTCCCTTAGGTAAGACATGCAATTGTTCTTCATATGACAGTGAAGATACTAAAAGAAAAACAGACATAATAGCTGCTACTGACAAATAGCTCTAGTTCAACAGTCCCGACTGGGAGCACACTGTGCTATGTCCTGTGGGTGAAAACATGTGGTGACATTATCAAAGTTCTTGCACTCCAAGACACAAGACAGACATTATCCAGCACACAGACAGATTGCTCAGATCACTCTTTCTAAAGTATTCTGGGTATGTTTTGACTTAATTTAAGTAATCCTGTGCAAATGCTGTATTTACAAAAGCACAGTGGGTATTCATCCCCCATCCAACAGATCTGAACACAACTAGCTGTACTTTTTCAGTTACCAATGAAATTACAGTGGTTTACTTACTTCAATACTTAACACCCAATGAAAATAATTTGTTTCATTTAATCCCTGGCAGAAATCACAGGAATACATGTCACAGGAAATCCACATTATTGTCAACTGCTATATCAAGCAGACATCTAATCTGTTGCAATCTAAGAAGTTTAGCTCTATCCCTTCACACATCATGTTTAACCTTGCAGAAGTCAATATGCGACAGGTGTACACTCCAGACACCTTCTCTGCACTAGATTATAGCACAGGCCACTGATCTGGAACTAAATTTGGCTGCAGAAAGCTAGTTTTTCTTTTCAGTCATTTCAAGTCAGATTTTGAGTAAGCCTCCAGTTCTGTGAGCCCTACACAAAAACGTAGTCAGAAATTTGTGCATGTTAGACCATCTGAGTGGTCATAACCTACTACACTCACCACTTGCTATTAACGTCCTTTGCAAGCTGCAAGGGAAAAAGGAGTGTGCAATGCAGAATTCTGGTCCAGGGCACAGACCTGCACTGCTGGTCCCTGCCCTGTGAGTTCAGCTGCATCCTGGGAGGCTGTGTTTCTAGGACTTCCACTGAACATGAAGCCCTTTTCCATGACAGGATACAAACCCATTGCTATACTTTCAAAATGTATGTAAACCAACCTTGTCTAAGCCTTGGGATAAATCAAAGGAATACAATTGAAAAAAAAAAAAGTTCTGAAGTATTTTGAGAGTTATCTATGCCTTCTACTGCAAGTACAAAAGTCTTTCAAATCACCCTGTGAGAAGCAAAAAAGATTTTTCTGGAAATTAAGCCTAATTCTCTGCGCTGCATATCAAAAGATCACTACGTAAAGTGATGTGTTTGAGGGATTTAAGACATTATAGATTCCTTATCAATCAGATTACTTTATTGACTAGATTTTTTTTCATTTCATCACAGATTTTCAAACATAAAAGTTGTAGTTATTTAATAGCTACTCAAAAAAAAAGAGGTCTTTTAAGTAAAATAAGATTTCATCTATGAAATTATATGGGTTTTTTTTCGTTGTAAATCAGGATATGACAGAATTAATGTCTCTTCTGGAGACGATGTAATCTTACAGTTTAGTAGGCATAGACAAGATACACTATATGGTTATTTGTTTGGAAAAATCCAAGTATGTTTCAAGGTCTTGCAATTCTTTCATGTCAAGGATTTTATTTGCCTTCCTGGAGGATATTTATAGGGAAAGAAGGAAGAAATAGTTTCCCTTGTAAGTCTAACAGGAAAAAGGTGTACAGATATGAAGTAATAAGTTTGGGTTTAGTCATAGTAAGAAAACATTTCTGCCTAGAAATACACATGACATGGAACCAGCTTCATCCTTTCATAATCCAAAACTCAGATGCAGTGGCATTTGTCAGGTATGGAAACCATCATACTCCTGTTTGGTTTCCATAAAAATGACTAAAATTCACTGATTTTTCCAGAGCCCATTATAATATCTCTCAGATGCCTGTGGTCTGGGAGATGCATGTGAAAAGTACATTGCTATCACTGGTCATGAAAGTCATTAAAGAAAGAAATTCAACTTTCAGTTTCTGGGATTTGACAGTAAACAATTTAGGTGTAAACAATCATTTCAATCACATTACGAGAGTGTTCAAAATATACTGGGAGAGTCATACTGGGAAAACTTGGAAACTGAAAACATGGGATGATTGAATCTGCAAAATACAAACTGGTAAGACATGGTTTCTGAATAACAAGGCATTCAGAATAGAAGTAGTCTCCCTAAGAAAGCATATTAAATACTGATTGCATAACATTTCTGGAATACAATCTGTAGGCACAAAATTAAATTAAGCACATTGTTTTACAGATTACTTAATCCAAAGGGGAAGAGGAAGTCACACAGCACAAACTGCAAGTTACTTTAGCTTTGCCAGAAGTCCTCACTCATGTCACAGAATGTTTAGTAAGTCCAGTATTGCCAGATCACATGATAAAAAGGAGATTTTTTTGTTATATTCTGGTTTAGTAAGGGTCTTGGTATATATGCAAGTATTTAACAAATAATTGGCCAGTAAATGGGAATCAAAAATATATACTTTCATTCCCTGATTTTGCAAGATCAGCAAAATGTCTTGCTCTGAACTTTGTTCCTACTGATCTTCAAGTGTGAGAGGATTTGCCAGGAATTGTCTACAGTCCTCTCAGAGGTGCAATCATCAGAGGCAGAAACATCATTTCAGATAGCACAAACACTGACCAAAGAGAAGTCCACTAATATCTAATTCAGAGATTTGAGAATAAGTTTTTGCAATAATAAAAATTCTATTGCTTAGCTTTTAATGTAAAACGTTTTCCTTGACATCCCCATTAGCCAATTCACTGACTGTACTAATCAAACAATCCTAATTCTAAATACATCTAATTGCTTTATCCTCTCATTTGCCAAGCAACATGGTGTTAAGATATCTACAATTTCTTTGTCTCTTCTGCTGGATTTTCCACAGCTATTTTGCTTTTTTTTTTTTTTTTTTTTTTTTCACTTTCTGGACTATTTTACTTTCCTTCTGCTCACTGCAAATATTCTTTATTGAAAGAAAAATTTATAAGTGGTTGAAATATCCTCTGTAATACTACACTCAACTGCTTCCTTCTGGTCTTCTATCTTCTAACTTTTTTATGACTCCCAATGTTTCCCCTTTTCAGAATGTTGTGTTACTTAAAAGCCGCCTGCTTCTTGCTTATACTGACTTTTCATATCCTCTAACCATGTTGGTCTCTGTCTCCCCATTTCTTGTTTAAGTTTGAAAAGAATGAATTTCTATTATAACCTCTAAAAAAGCATTTCAGTATTTTCCAGTGTTCTCTTGGTGACTTCACAGACATTAAAGGATTCAGCAGTTAGTGTTCTTGCCATAAAAAATCTTTCTTTTTTTTTTTCTTTTTTTTCTCATTTCACTGAGTATATCTTCATCTTCACTGTTATAAATCTATGTTATGTGTAGCTGTCATGATCATTCTAGTAACAGCATCCAGTAAATGCTCTTAGAACTGAAATTCAATAAATTATTTTAGATTATTTATTGGAATTGGAAGAATACAAACTGGTATCATTTAAGAGACTAGAAAATGTATCTAAATAAGCAATTACAAATAACATATTTATTTCCTTTGATAATTAAAAATTATTACAATGATAAACTTTTCAGTTGTCCTTAACTGTAAGAATTTCAATAGATTATCATTATTCCAAATTTAAAATGTGGGCTTTTTGTTTGCACTATTTTTCTTACCCTGCAATCAGTCCATATGTATCTACAGTTAGATGTTAGTTAAAACAATGAAAAGAGGTAAATATTCTCCATGGTGGCAACCTACGAAGCCCACGTGAATTATATATGCTTGCTGCAAATCCCAGCTGTGGAGTTAATGGTGGTCTCTGACTCTCTGGGGCATCTAATTACTAGTGCCTGCTCACTAGTTAAGCATATATACAGTCAGAATATCATCTTAGCTTTTAGCTTAGTAAAACTTCCTTGACACATATTTTATCTGTGTCAGGTTCTGAGGCTTAAACCCTCAAATACGGAAGATGCCTGTATTCTAAGGATCAAAAGAAATATGGGTCAGTTTCCTGACGAAATTGGTAAACTTTTCACACATTTTTTATCTTTTTATTTAAAAAGAAAACCTGTATGAGAAATCTCATTATTGTTACATTTTTCTTACCTTTCTGTTTTTTGTATGGATACGTGTTGTTAAAGGAGTTATTAGGGAGACCTTAATTGATTAAGGGGGATTCAGGGAGTTTTTCGGTGCTACAGTTCACATGTTACTCATTTTTGACATTCATTTAACATAAATACTAGGATTAACTTTTAATTAAAATTAGAGTCATCATGTTGGGATATTTTAAAATTTTAAAAAAATATTTAGACAGGAGGTATAATAATTGCAGGGCATCCTGAGTGTTTCTTTCTTTCAGTGAATTTCTCTTCCTTTCAGGGGCCCAAGAAAGTCCAGTGCCCCCAGATTGCTGTGCTATTACTGTCTTACACAGAGGGCTGGGAAAATTGTCCAGTTCAAATTGTAGCTGAACAACTTTAGCAATCACTTTTAGTAGTCTTGTGGACCATGCACCACCACCATAACAGATCAGTGTTTCTTGTACCACTCCTACAAAAAGCTGGAATTCCTAATGTTTCTGAAAGGTGTGCACAAATGAAATTATTCCATAGCGTTTTTAAGAAAGAGGGAAAGAGCAGCAAATATGTGTAGACATTTTTCCACAACCACTTCCCCAAACTCAAAACCAGAAAACCAAAGACATAAATATGAGTCTTGACAAAAACACTCTGAGTAGACTTTTCATACGTAAGCACATCACTAATACTGGGAAAAGAAAATCAGCCCCTGTGAGATGACAACTCTGAGACATTCTGAGATGACATTGTGAAAGAAGCAGCTTTGATGGAAAAATAAATTTATATATATAATAAAGTTAATATAGTTCCGTGCCTTGTGGCTGCATTCTCATAATAAAACCTCAGTTGTTTCATTAATAAAGATGCATCTTTAATGAGTAGGTGTTCCTGTTGTGATTGCACAGTGCCAAAAAGTTTACTGCCTATATTTGATTTCCTTTGTTTGAAACAAAGCCCTCAATAATTTCAATAGTTTGGAGCAATTGCATCACAAAACCTAAATGGCTATCTAATAAATTTTCTATTATAAGCAAGAAGCCTTTATTCTGCATATTTGGACAATAGCTTAAGCTCCAAAAATATCTCACCTCTCTAGTATCAAAAAAAAAAAAAAGAGAGAAAGAAATGCAAGAGGACATTGGAGAAAGCAGGTCAACAAGTCTCCTAACATGGAAAGAGAAAAGCCAAGCACGCAGATTTGGGGAGTGATAATCAGCATACAACAGTGGGGTCCTAAAGCTTCAGACAGAAAATAATCTTGGAAGAAATACAAACAGTTCTGTAGTCTCTCTACAAATAAGAGTATCTACATGTATTTTGAGAACAGTACAGCTGCCACAGATCCATCACCCCATAGTGTCATTATCAGTGAAACTGAGACACTGTAACATGTGGACTAATTCTGGCATACAGATTAACATCTATTGGGGGGCAACAACAAAATGTCAGTAACAAAATTTTTTATATCTAGGTGTCAGCACCTAGTTGGAGCACCCTTGAAGCATCTTCTTCCAGATGCTTCCAGATGTGTTTGGCTCATAGTCATTGGCTCATAGTCATCTGCTTGAAATCTATCAGTCATTGACTAAAAGGCTTGTAAAACAGTATTCCTTAGAGAATGACTCTCCCACATGGCAAAAAAATCTGAGGGGTTGAAGAAATGATTTAGGTAGGGACAGCTTCCTTTTGATCAAAACTCACCTCCCTGTCTCATTAAACTTGTCAGGATTGAAGAGCTCAGCAATCTGCTTGAGTCTAAGCAACATCTGATTTTTCATTAAGGGAGCTGTCAGAAATGACCATAATTCTTAATTTTCAAAAATATGCTTTACTTCTCTCCAATTTATGCACATAGCCAGATTTCTATCCTCCAAAATTACAGCAATAAAACATGTCGTTAAGAACAGATACAAAATTCTGCAGATCTGATACATGAGATTCTGCTGTTTGCAATCTAGCTGAAAGTCCTCTGCTGTCTGCTCAATGACAGTGAAACT